GTTGGTGGTAGCCATTAGTCAGGTGATGTTGGTGTTGGTGGTAGCCATTAGTCAGGTGATGTTGGTGTTGGTGGTAGCCATTAGTCAGCTGATGTTGGTGTTGGTGGTAGCCATTAGTCAGATGATGTTGGTGTTGGTGGTAGCCATTAATCAGGTGATGTTGGTGTTGGTGGTAGCCATTAGTCAGCTGATGTTGGTGTTGGTGGTAGCCATTAGTCAGCTGATGTTGGTGTTGGTGGTAGCCATTAGTCAGATGGTGTTGGTGTTGGTGGTAGCCATTAGTCAGATGATGTTGGTGTTGGTGGTAGCCATTAGTCAGGTGGTGTTGGTGTTGGTGGTAGCCATTAGTCAGATGATGTTGGTGTTGGTGGTAGCCATTAGTCAGCTGATGTTGGTGTTGGTGGTAGCCATTAGTCAGCTGATGTTGGTGTTGGTGGTAGCCATTAGTCAGATGGTGTTGGTGTTGGTGGTAGCCATTAGTCAGCTGATGTTGGTGTTGGTGGTAGCCATTAGTCAGGTGGTGTTGGTGTTGGTGGTAGCCATTAGTCAGCTGATGTTGGTGTTGGTGGTAGCCATTAGTCAGATGATGTTGGTGTTGGTGGTAGCCATTAGTCATGTAATGTTGGTGGTAGCCATTAGTCAGCTGATGTTGGTGTTGGTGGTAGCCATTAGTCAGGTGATGTTGGTGTTGGTGGTAGCCATTAGTCAGATGGTGTTGGTGTTGGTGGTAGCCATTAGTCAGGTGATGTTGGTGTTGGTGGTAGCCATTAGTTAGCTGATGTTGGTGTTGGTGGTAGCCATTAGTCAGGTGATGTTGGTGTTGGTGGTAGCCATTAGTCAGCTGATGTTGGTGTTGGTGGTAGCCATTAGTCAGCTGATGTTGGTGTTGGTGGTAGCCATTAGTCAGATGATGTTGGTGTTGGTGTTAGCCATTAGTCAGATGGTGTTGGTGTTGGTGGTAGCCATTAGTCAGCTGATGTTGGTGTTGGTGGTAGCCATTAGTCAGGTGGTGTTGGTGGTAGCCATTAGTCAGGTGATGTTGGTGTTGGTGGTAGCCATTAGTCAGGTGATGTTGGTGTTGGTGGTAGCCATTAGTCATGTAATGTTGGTGTTGGTGGTAGCCATTAGTCATGTAATGTTGGTGTTGGTGGTAGCCATTAGTCAGCTGATGTTGGTGTTGGTGGTAGCCATTAGTCAGCTGATGTTGGTGGTAGCCATTAGTCAGGTGATGTTGGTGGTAGCCATTAGTCAGGTGATGTTGGTGTTGGTGGTAGCCATTAGTCAGGTGGTGTTGGTGTTGGTGGTAGCCATTAGTCAGGTGATGTTGGTGTTGGTGGTAGCCATTAGTCAGGTGATGTTGGTGTTGGTGGTAGCCATTAGTCAGGTGATGTTGGTGTTGGTGGTAGCCATTAGTCAGCTGATGTTGGTGTTGGTGGTAGCCATTAGTCATGTAATGTTGGTGGTAGCCATTAGTCAGGTGATGTTGATGTTGGTGGTAGCCATTAGTCAGGTGATGTTGGTGTTGGTGGTAGCCATTAGTCAGGTGATGTTGTTGGTGGTGGTAGCCATTAGTCAGCTGATGTTGATGTTGGTGGTAGCCATTAGTCAGCTGATGTTGGTGTTGGTGGTAGCCATTAGTCAGGTGATGTTGTTGGTGGTGGTAGCCATTAGTCAGCTGATGTTGATGTTGGTGGTAGCCATTAGTCAGGTGATGTTGTTGGTGGTGGTAGCCATTAGTCAGCTGATGTTGGTGGTAGCCATTAGTCAGGTGATGTTGGTGGTAGCCATTAGTCAGGTGATGTTGGTGGTAGCCATTAGTCAGGTGATGTTGGTGTTGGTGGTAGCCATTAGTCTGGTGATGTTGGTGTTGGTGGTAGCCATTAGTCAGGTGATGTTGGTGGTAGCCATTAGTCAGGTGATGTTGGTGGTAGCCATTAGTCAGGTGATGTTGGTGTTGGTGGTAGCCATTAGTCAGGTGATGTTGGTGTTGGTGTTAGCCATTAGTCAGGTGATGTTGGTGTTGGTGGTAGCCATTAGTCAGATGGTGTTGGTTGTAGCCATTAGTCAGCTGATGTTGGTGTTGGTGGTAGCCATTAGTCAGCTGATGTTGGTGGTAGCCATTAGTCAGCTGATGTTGGTGGTAGCCATTAGTCAGGTGATGTTGATGTTGGTGGTAGCCATTAGTCAGATGGTGTTGGTTGTAGCCATTAGTCAGCTGATGTTGGTGTTGGTGGTAGCCATTAGTCAGCTGATGTTGGTGTTGGTGGTAGCCATTAGTCAGCTGATGTTGTTGGTGGTGGTAGCCATTAGTCAGGTGATGTTGGTGTTGGTGGTAGCCATTAGTCAGGTGGTGTTGGTGTTGGTGGTAGCCATTAGTCTGGTGATGTTGGTGGTAGCCATTAGTCAGCTGATGTTGGTGTTGGTGGTAGCCATTAGTCAGGTTATGTTGGTGTTGCTGGTCTAGAGCTGCTGTTGGGGGGTGGAGGGGTGGGATGTTGTTGTCGTTTACAACGCCAGAAAGTTTCTTCAATGTCTTGAAAAGATTGCACGTGCCACCCCCACGTGTTACCCCCACGTGCCACCCCCACGTGCCACCCCCACATGCCACCCCCACTTTGGCCGTTACATCTGAAGAACGTGTACTTCTGTTTGCTTAGGCTGTCAAATGACAGGCAAAAACATTGTTTAAATTGATGTTATTTTCGATGTTCAATTTTCTAGGTCAGTTCCTTGTTGATCTGTTGTATAATATTTGATATCAGCAAACTTGCAACATGCGAACATGTTAATTAATTTTAGAACATCTAATAATTAAAAAAACTAATTTGTGCTTTAAAAAAATGATTACATTTATGACATATTAGCTTTATAAAAAACTTTACCAATCTCACGGAGTAATTCTAGATGTTTCCAGTGACGGCCCATGCGCACGCAGCAAAGATAAAAATTATTTTAAAAATGAAGAGTGAATCGGTGTAACTTTATAAACCTAATTTTCACGGATCTACAAGTTGTTCACGTAATTTCTGATGTCGGCAAAAAAAAATATTTGCTCACATCTCGGCCAGGCCAAATTTTAAAGATTTGAAACATTCCAGAATTTTCATCATCAGCCTTTTTAGTATCAGCTTTTATTTCGTTCACTGTTGGTTTTTTTCTAATCACAGTTTGTGGCTAATCGAGTAAGTAAATATGGACCCACTTCTTACGCAGCAATGTCAAATTTATAGATACATTCGTCTCTAACGACAACGCAAGAATGGATCATTTTTTAATCCACTTAGATATTAAATTGTTAATAAAACTTAATTTAAAGATTACTAAAATTAAAAAATAAAAGGGGAGATAACAACATAATTAATACCGTCCAACTTGATTAGCCAGGTCTGGTTAAGGACGATTGGTTGCTCGACTGAGATCCGAACCTCGGACCTAGTCGGGGTAGATAATTAGCTTTTAGAGATCGCGAGCTACTGTTTGGGTTTAAAGCGAATATTTTAGTGGCGGGTGCTATCGGCTTCATTAGGAAAACAAAAAAGCGGGAGTGATCTCCCCTAAACTTTCTCCAGTATTCTTATATAAAAAATACGTGGGATGGCAACTTAAATATAGACATGATTTTTAATCCATTTTTAATTACTTAAACTGTTTATAATAGAATAGAATATCGCAGAAAAAAAAAAGAATTGCGCACTAAGTGAATGGCAAACATTATCTTTAAAATAGTACGGAATATTATTTCTTTATAAATTCATATTAGTTTTTTGAGAAATCGGAAATAGCATAAATTACTACTTCCGGTCAAGGGAAATTTCTCAAAAATTTTAACGAAGGCAGAAAATAATATCTTTTTTACATGTTTGAAATTCCATTTATCTATTCTAAACAGTACCCAAGTTATAGGCTTTTTAAAAATTAAAAGTAGAATAAGTTCCACTTTCGGTTACCGGAAATTGCTGAAAAGTTGATACAAAACTACAAAATTTGAAAGAATATTTATATCTGAAGTTTCAGCAACCTGGGTGTAATGGTACTCAAGTTATCGTGTTCACACACATATATACACACATACATGCATACATACATATACTTCGCATGCAAGAGAGTAGATAGCTTTAAAATTGGTTGACACTGTGTAAATACACTGACTAACGAACATACGAGAACTTACATAGAGATTTACAATCCAAATCTAACGGTTGTCCTACACAAGTTGTCTTACACAGGTTGTCCTACATAGGTTGTCCTACATAAGTTGTCTTACACAGGTTGTCCTACATAGGTTGTCCAACATGTCCTACACAGGTTGTCCTACACAGGTTGTCCTACATAGGTTGTCCTACATAGGTTGTCCTACACAGATTGTCCTACACAGGTTGTCCTAGATAAGTTGTCCTGAACAGGTTGTCCTACACAGGTTGTCCTACATAAGTTGTCCTACACAGGTTGTCCTACACAGGTTGTCCAACATGTCCTACACAGCTTGTCATACATAGGTTGTCCTACACAGGTTGTCCTACATAAGTTGTCTTACACAGGTTGTCCTACACAGGTTGTCCTACATAGGTTGTCCTACATAGGTTGTCCTACACAGATTGTCCTACACAGGTTGTCCTAGATAAGTTGTCCTGAACAGGTTGTCCTACACAGGTTGTCCTACACAGGTTGTCCTACACAGGTTGTCCTACACAGGTTGTCCAACATGTACTACACAGGTTGTCATACATAGGTTGTCCTACACAGGTTGTCCTACAAAGGTTGTCCTACACAGGTTGTCCTACACAGGTTGTCCTACATAAGTTGTCCTACATAAGTTGTCCTACACAGGTTGTCCTACACAGGTTGTCCTACACAGGTTGTCCTACATAAGTTGTCCTACACAGGTTGTCCTACATAGGTTGTCCTATACAGGTTGTCCTACACAGGTTGTCCTACACAGGTTGTCCAACATGTCCTACACAGGTTGTCATACATAGGTTGTCCTACACAAGTTGTCTTACACAGGTTGTCTACATAGGTTGTCCTACACAGGTTGTCCTACACAGGTTGTCCTACACAGGTTGTCCTACACAGGTTGTCCTACACAGGTTGTCCTACAAAGGTTGTCCTACACAGGTTGTCCTAACTCTGACGGATCACTCTCTAAATGTTCCGTTATCTGCTGTGCCACATGACTTGATTAGAAGTACACCAAGGCCAAGGCCACACTGCTGTCATATGATGGCCGAGTTTGGCCAAGGTCATACTGCTGTCATATGATGGCCGAGTTTGGCCAAGGTCACACTGCTGTCATATGATGGCCGAGTTTGGCCAAGGTCACACTGCTGTCATATGATGGCCGAGTTTGGCCAAGGTCACACTGCTGTCATATGATGGCCGAGTTTGGCCAAGGCCACACTGCTGTAATTTATGGTATTTATATTACTGCCTATAAAAGTCCCAGGATTTTATATATTACTGCCTATAAAAGTCCCAGGATTTTATATATTGCTGCCTATAAAAGTCCCAGGATTTTATATATTGCTGCCTATAAAAGTCCCAGGATTTTATATATTGCTGTCCATAAAAGTCTCAGGATTTTATATATTGCTGTCCATAAAAGTCTCAGGATCTAAAGTCACATTTGTGAAACATAAAGTCCCAGGATGTAAAGTCACATTTGTGAAACCTCTCGACGTCGGGTTGCGGTAACTTTTTGACTTGACTGGACTTAGATCTCTCTATCAAGTCACCTTGAGGAAATTATCTTGCCATATCTCATTGATAATGATTAGCCGTCAAATAATCTCATAGATAAAGTTTTCGTGTGGAAAATATAATCACACGTCTACTGATCGCGTGGTTGTGCGGCCTTGTTGATTTATCTTTGACCAGCCCACCTCCCCCCTCAGCTAAAAACTAACCTGACAGAAAAGACCCTCCAATAACCGACCCCTACCCCGCCCCACCCCCACGTACCCCTCAGCTAAAACCTAACCTGACAGAACAGACCCCACCACCACCACCACCACCACCACCACCACCACCACCACCACCACCACCACCACCACCTCCACCACCACCAACACCACCACCACCACCACCACCACCACTACCACCACTACCACCACCACCACCAACACCACCACCACCACCACCACCACTACCACAACCACCACCGACCATTCCAGACTTGCTCAGTCATTTAGTAAATTAATCACCCCCTCACCTTTATAAATCTTCTAGCAATACGACAGCAGGTCATTACGCCAGCGTCCAACCGGGTGACGTCACACTAATCAAGGGGTTAATGAGACACCTGTAGTCGTTACATTATGAACCCTTGACAAGGGAATTTGAAATCTCGAGACATTGAAAGGCTCGGGTTTCTGGGGAACTTCCTGGGGAACCTTTTCTGGAGGGTTACATTGTTAAAATCAGATGGACGATTACAACTTTAAAATCAGATGGACGATTACAACTTTAAAATCAGATGGACGATTACAACTTTAAAATCAGATGGACGATTACAACTTTAAAATCAGATGGACGATTACAACTTTAAAATCAGATGGACGATTACAACTTTAAAATAAGATGGACGATTACAACTTTAATTGCACTAATAATGTGTGTATGACGTCATATTCGACACGTCAGATAATACCCTCTGGCTAATATCGAGCTGTTTCAGTGGATAATCCTATGCAGTGGCGTCGCTAGGTTGGGTGTCACTGGGTGCGGAACCTTATGGTGCATACGTTCGTTTTAACGAGTGCGATACTCTGTGAATAAAAAGGGTTTCTATAGCTTTCACTATATCGAATCCAGGGCGTCTTATGTGTTGACACTTGTGTTTGCTTTTGTTATTGCGTTTATGTTTGTGTTTGCGTTTATGTTTGTGTTTGCCTTTGTGTTTGCTTTTTTGTTTGCGTTTATGTTTGCGTTTGCGTTTTTGTGTTTGTGTTGGGGTTTGGGTTTTCGTTTGTGTTTTGGTTTTGGTTGATTGTGGCATGGGTTAATTCGAAAAGTAATATATTTCCTAAACCCGAACAGAGCCGTGTATATACTGATTACTAAACACACAAGTCATTGTCCTTTACAGATATAATATTATATATATATATATATATATATATATATATATATATAGATATATATATATATATATATATATATATATATATATATATATATATATATATATATATATATATATATATATATATATATATATATATATATATATATATATATGCATGTGTGTGTATGTGTGTGTGAGAGTATGTGTGTGTGTGTGTGTGTAAGACTACAAATGACTATAATTTAAATGTGTGCCATATACACGTAGGTGTATGTGTATAAGCATGTGTATATGTAATTGTATGTCGTTTTTCTTGATGTATTTAAAATTAGTAAAGCTACGCATTTTTGGTTTGGTCTACGAACTCTATTTCTAATGTATAAGAAAGTTATTTCTATAGTGACCAATGAGACTTGCCGTTATTTCTATAGTGACCAATGAGACTTGCCGTTATTTCTATAGTGACCAATGAGACTTGCCGTTATTTCTATAGTGACCAATGAGACTTGCCGTTATTTCTATAGTGACCAATGAGATTTGCCGTGGCAATCCGCTAAGGGTTCTTTACCTTTATTTTGTTTTGACCAGTAGACTACATTGCTTGTCATTGAAAGTTGCAAATGGTATCACCCCCTTCCTCGCATTTTACCTAATGCCGTTTATTTGTGCACGTTATTATATCAATGTACCTATAAATTCAAGTGAAAAATATATATTTTTCAATGTAAACTATTAGATATGGTGTTCCCCCACCCCGGTCTTTGATTGAAAATATTCAACAATTTCATCTTTAAATTTTGCAGTTGATGTCACCCCCTCCCCCAGTACCCCGGGTGATATATTTAAGGTATTCCCAGTTACTAGTCTTTAGTAAATTGTGCAGTTTTTTTGCCTTGGTGTCACCCGGTCAGGGGGGGGGGGATACTGTTAAATGTATATATTTTCTATATAAATTTCATTTCGTTCGGGGAGCAGTAGACTTTTTTCGGGGATAGGGGGCAGAGGCGTAGCTAGGGGAGGGCGGGGAGGGCGGCCGCCCCGGGCGCCGACCCTCGGGGGGCGCCAAAAGGGGTAGAAAATAATGTTAAAAGCTCATTTTAAGGTGCAGTTTTGAATTATAAACAGTCAAAGTAAAGAAATTTAACGGCTGTGAGCCTTTACATACTGATTTAACTGTTTTCTACCTTGATTAAGTAACTGTAAAACGTATAACCTTAAGAAACAGTGACCGGAAAAACCGCTTTCCAGCTTCCTAGATGGGGGGGGGCGCTTTTTCCAAGACTAAAATCGTAAAAATTCACACCGGAATGACTCAAAAAAGAAACCTATTGTACTAAAGCGTATTGTGTAACATAAAAAAAGAGTTAGTGACGTTTAAAATCCGCTCTCCCTTTTTTGTCCAAGATGGTGGTTGGGTGGGGGCGCTTTTTCACCAGCAAAAAACCGCAGGATTTGTACTGGATCGGTTGCTAGATAAATCTTTTAACACTTAGAAAAGAGATCAATTGAATTAACACTTAATGTACGATTTCACTACTTAGTTTTGCTAAGTAATAAAGCGACTAGTTCTTTGTAAGATTCTTACGATTCTCTCAACTTCAACGTAAGAGATTAGATACTTTTACTTGATTGCATTATATCTAACCTTGATCACTTCATTAAAGAGAACTAAATATCACGGATTCTTGTATCGCTATTCGTTCGATAAAATAGCAGACTGTCGGAGCGGGTGGGTGTATAGCGACACTCTTTGCCAAAATTTTAAGAGAAAAGAAAATTAGTATATTGTACTGAATAGATAATTTTTTATTCATTTTTAGCGCAATTTCCATTCTGGAGAATTGCGTTTATTAACCCGTCATTTCTGGATGTATGAATGTATGAATGAATGGATGGATGGATGTGTGTCCGCAGCTTTAAGTCGTATCTCCTCCTCAACGAAGCAATATCGAGGACTAGTTCCAAAAGCAATTATGTTAAGCAAGTTACGAGGATGAACATAGGCCATAAAAATTCCGGGTTTCTTTCATGGATTTCCCGGAAAAGCCAAAAAAACTCGAAAAAAAAGCAGTTTTTGGCCCATATCTCGGCAACCAGACCACTTAGCGACTTGAAACATTTACCAATCGATTCCTGCCATAACTTAGAACAATATTGCCGAAGAAAGTTTTTAAAAATATCCTTTCGTTCGGTCACAAATTTTTTTTTGAATTAATTAAAATTTGGACCGAATTAGTAGGCATGTTTATCCAACCACACCACACGCGTCATCACGTTCAATAGCTGCGCCATCACGTTCGGTAGCTAGGCGCGCAACGGTTTTTAGTCATGTAACTCTATTGTAAATAAAACATGTAAAATACTGAAAAAAAAAATAAAAAACGTTTTAATAACTAACCAATGGTTTTACTAACCCTGCTCTTGATTTACGCTACGACAGAGCTATTTTTAGATAACATAAGGAAATTGCGCTAAAATTGTCACTAGACTTTTTAATTACCTTGTTTTCATAACACTTTGGTTAACCTAAGTGATAATTTAAAATTGTGATATAGGTATTATCGAAATTGTTCTAAAGACACGACCAAAAGTAGATCAGATCGGGTTGCACCTTTTACAAAGTACACTCTAAAGCAGTGGTTCTTAACTTTTTGGAGTAACTAACCCCACCCGTTTTATATGCCCAATCACCGAACCCTTCTTAATAGTTGTATCGTCCACATTGACAAAATCCGATCGCGAATCATATGAGTCGGGTGTGTCTTGACCTCCGCGGAAGCCCTGAGATTGAATTACCTAACCTCTTGGGTTCGATGGAACCCACTGTTCTAAGCTCTTTTGATTTTCTTCTTTTTATTCGTTTTGGCTTCATAAGGAACACAAACGTAGGCAACACTTCGTCAACTCACTTGATTTTTATGAAGATCGAACCCTAATAATCCAGCCTCCCTCATCTCTATTTCAAACGATTTCCTTCAGGACTTATTTAGTCTTTTCCTCTTTCTCTTTTCCCTTGGACTTCACACAAGCACCTGCATAGTGATGTTATTTTTTGTCTTTCTCAAATTATGCCCTTACCACCACCTTTTCATTCTCCACTGTCTT